AACCGCCTCCAGAGAGCCTGTTCTACACCAGACCAGTGGAGCCAGACTGCAGCCAGAGCCCATCACCATCCTCATCTGGTTGTAAGTAGGCAATCTAGTATATTATTCGTGGCACTAAGCTCTAATTTACCTCACATTAAAGGGACACTATAGTCCCCAGAACCACTACAGCTTAATGTAGTGGTTCTGGTGTCTATAGCCTGTCCCTGCAGGTCTTTTAATGTAAATACGGCGGCACTGCAGCACTAGTGTTAGTTAACATGGCAGATCATATGGGTGGGGCATTGTGATGTCACATGGGGGGGCGGCAAACTTTACTTTTGCCTAGGGCGGCAAAAATCAGTGAGGGTGACAGTGTGTGTGAGAGAGTGGTAGTGTGTGTGGGAGGATGACAGTGTGTTTGGGAATGGTGACAGGGTGTGTGTCGGGGGGGATGGTGATATTGTGGGAAGTGGTAACAGGTTGTGTAGGGAGTGGGGGTGGTGAGAGTGTGGGAGTGGTGAGTGTGTGTGGAAGGGTGACAGTGTGTGTGGGGGATGGTGACAGTGTAGAGGGAGGGTGTTCATAGTGGGGACACAATGGGGCTTTACAGTGGGGGGTAGTGTGTAGTGAGGCTATGGATTAGTGATCAGCCTCCCCACATGGAAATCCTGGAGATCGCAAAATCTCTACTACAGGGTCTGCAGCTCTGCAACTGGTGGATGGACTCTCTCCCTCTCCGGACAAGTCTTGTGCCCCTTCCTGGTTGTCGGGCCTTTGGTCACTGACCGAGGACCCGATGCATCAGTCTGCCATTTCAATGACTGGTTGGGTGAACTTGATACATTTTAGAAACAGGTTCACACAAACCGGCTGAATCCCTCCCCTGGTTTGGGTCATGACTTTTTATTCAAATGTTTCCAGGATGATTTGCAAAAAAACAGGGGACACCATCCTCCCCTCCCCCTACACATTCCAATTCACCCCTTCAGTGTGAGATGTCATAATGAAAAAGCAGAACTTCCTCATTTTCTGTCCAAGTATTTGTACAGCTGAAAATGTATAGTGTACTAACGTTGTGTAATAAGAGACAGTCTGCACGGTGGTAAACAAGGATCAAGCCCCATTAAAAGGGCATTTAAAGTGTCAGAATCCTCAATATATCAAAACATATAAAAAGATCAAAATTGGAAAAAAAAAAAGATTGCTCAGGTCAGCAGAATTAGTGATTTTATTCATGGCTATTTTAAGGAACATCTGCCAAGCACCGTAAACACTTAGAGGACCCAATGAAAGCTCCTTGAAAGAGCTTTTGATTCCATGGAAGTGGGTGTTTAGCACCTGGCAGACCCCAGTGAACGGTCAAACCAGTCTCAAATTATTTGGCTACTTACACAAGGTGGGTACCTGGTCAGCCCCCCACGTCAGCAGATTGTAGTGCTCATGGTGCTTGGAGTGCTCCTTAATATACATTTTTAAACGTAAGGTAAGTGGTTGTGTTAACCCTCGAGAGTGATTGTTATGAGGAGAGTGCAGAACTGGAGAAATAGCTACAATATATCTAAAACTAGCACCATGACTCAGCCCCCTATGCAGCAGCATTGATAATGGATTTACACTTCCTCGATGTCAATTCAGTTCAGCCCGGGTGCATTGATGGTGTGAGAGCACGGGGCAGCGCAGGGAGGACATGACAGGATCTATACAGGAATTATAGATTGTTATGGTTGTTTACACATCACACACTTCTTAAACAATCACTTCTTTATAACATGTACAAGTACTACCATAGAAAACGTTAGAGGCCTGCAAGAAATCTTTAATTAAATTTTTTTTTAAAAAGCAAATGAAATCTAGGGTTCTCCTATCCCAATCAGTGATCACATATAATAGCATCATCTATACCTAATAACAGGCAGAATATTGAAAGTGCTCGCCGGTATGATGCAAAATGTATTTACTGCTTAGAGGAAATCAATCAAACAGAGAAATTGCAGCATACCAGTCATGCATACAGCAGGGCACAACTTTTCATGTACTGTCCATTTGACAAATAGCTACAAGGCACAGGTTAGTAAAATATGCTGCACCTGGCAATCCCAGGGGCATCTCATGTTTTTACTAAATTCTGGCAAAAATAAATATCTCAAAACGTTAAACCTTTCTTATCCTTGCACACTCGGCTCACACTGTAATGAGAAAAGGTCTCTCTCTCTCTTTTTCCATTATTCCAGAGAGCATCGTTCAGTATTTAAATAAATAATATCCCACCCATAACATGAAGGGGATTCCTATAATACCAGGTGGGTACTCCGGGGGAAGTCACACGCCTGCCTATAGGCATTGCTAAGGGGGACTGAAACCCCGGATGTGGGCTTTTTAGCCTGGGATTTAAGCAGGTAGTGGAGGCGACAGGAGGATATTCATTTATTATTATAATTTTTTTAAATTGTACGTCAAGCAACTATGTCTCAAAGCAGCCATCTATCATAATAAGATTTGTAGTATAGTGCTGTGACAGACTACTTAGCTGTAGGTGACTATCTGAATGGGGTGCTGGGGAACAGAGCACCCCTCTATTAGTTAGGTATCACACCAGGATCACATTGATTAACATGTCTGTACATGTGCACTGCAGGTGTTAATTCTAACATACACAAACATATAAACATTTCATGCATATATACGTAATAAACGTAGAGAGAGACGAGGGTATATCACGCAACCAAACCTCTCTGTCAGTACAGGCGCCATCAAACTCTCCTTTGGGCTCAAGTGTTTCTAAAATCTCGTAACACCCCTGAAAATAGCATTAAAAAAAATAAAAAGAGGTTTCTTTAACCCCTTAAGGACACATGATATGTGTGACATGTCATGATTCCCTTTTATTCCAGAAGTTTTGTCCTTAAGGGGTTAAACATATGACATTAACCCTTTGAGTACCCTAAAATGTAACATGAAGAAGATAAAGCAAATAGTACTAATGAGTTTAATAAGACAGAGCATGATCTGCCTGAATGGCACACAGAGGGTGTTTGCTGACGCTGGATCCAGCGGGATTGTTCTGTGTTGGAGAGTTACGCGACACGTTCAGCCTATTGTTTTGCTCCATTTACCCGTTGTCAATGCTGGCAGCTCGTTCATCATGATACAG